TATAATTCAATAGGCCGTCACAACCGGATGTCTTAAACCCGCTCACCGATACCTACCTGAAAAGACCTTTTCGACGTGCCAGGGACGGTCGAGACGCGAAGGACCGGACTCAGAGTAATTTTGTTTGTTAAAATTTTCAAATTTCAAAATTTCCTTACAGAACATGATTTATACTTTGAAGAAAATTACACAAAGACACAATTATTAGAAGTGTTACACACTCGAAAATTTGAGAAACAATATAAAATAGATGCTATGGCGCGAGATCGTGGATTTAGGGTGATTAGACTTCCGCCGTACCATTGTATATTTAACCCCATCGAACTAATCTGGTCGCAAATGAAAAATAATATAAAAAGGAATAATACGGCACCAAAATTTAGTAGTGCAACAACTGACATAATTAGGGAAGAAGCTTCCAAAATAACTGCCGAAATGTGGGCCAATTGTGTACGACATTCCACAAAAGAAGAAGACCAGTACAGGGCACGGTTGATAACACCGTTAATTATTAATTTAGAAGAGTCGAGTGATGATGACAGTGACTATTTCGATCAATAAATAAGCAGTAGTAGTTAATAAGTAAATAGTTGTGCTGTAATAAAAAATGATTGAGTACAAAGTTACTTTGTTTTTACTTAAAATAAAAAACTCGAAAGGCGCAGTTGTCGGTTAATGCAAAACTCAGTCCTGCCCTGTGCTTTTACCAGAAAAGGTCTTTTCAGGTAGGTATCGGTGAGCGGGTTTAAGACATCCGGTTGTGACGGCCTTAGAAACAGACACTCTACCACGTTCTCTATTTGTAAAGAACGAAGTGATTTAAACAATAAAAAAATGAGTAATAATACACAAAATCTAGGAATATTCGTAAACCGCAAGTACAGTGGGATATTATTTCATACAAAATCGCTGATATTAATTGCGCAATATAATGAGCGGACGTCATCAAATTGTTGTTAGAGCCGATTATCCAAATTTTGGTCAGCGTTTTAGCATCTACATGATACTCCTAATACATATATAAAATTTGACAACAATCGGTCCATTAGTTTCGGAGATTATCTGTCTAACAAATATCCGGACACACGGCAGACAGGCAGGGAGATAGACACGGGAGACCTATTTCTTCGTAGGGGTCATAAAAGTCCGAGAAAACGCAAAAGCAGAGAGTCGGTCGACGGACTCGATTACAATACTTCCTTGGCTTAACGCTTGGAAAGTAAAAATTTACCACTCGAAAACAATCTTCCAAAGCTTTAAAAGTTCAACATACAAATACATATTTAAGAGTATAAGAGTGTTCCTACGATATCCACGTGGTAAACGAGAGAAAAATGTAGAAGCATACTAATTGAGGATACTTCCGAAGGTAGTGAAGTTAAAAATAACTTAATATATTCCATTTGTTACCTACATTTGATTCAGATTTGTTCGGATTTCTTTTAACTGTTTCTCCTCGAGCATTGGTATTGTAACAGGATCCATTCGGCGAACGGCTAATTTCATGCCGTGTGACGTTCGTAATCTCTGCTCTACAGCAGAGGTATTAAGGATCATTTAATTCAGTTACGTCAGTTAAGGAACTGGACAAACATTTATTTCCATTTATCGGAACCTAAATAAAAATATATCAAACAGAAATAATGTTTTAACACTCAATGAAGTTAATAAGTTTGTTGCAAGTCTCGGAACATAAACATGACTAATTGACCACTCTTCCACTTTGCGGAATATAAACGAAATCATTAAGACTTTTAAATACAAAATGTATATAAAAATTACAAAGTAAAAAAACATTAGTGCAATGTATCTACTTCAGAAATTAGCTTTTCAAATCTAAGCTCTATATTTGATACCCACACAATGATACCATTTTTACGGTCGAGACGATTTTAACCTTTTTTTAATGGCAGTTAAAGACAAAAAACTGAACTTGCATAAATATGATGGTGCAAATTGAATGAAATTTTGACAACTTCGTTCGCGAGTTGGGGGTATTTTTGCATTCTTTTGGTCCAAAAATGATTTAGGTTGAGAGAAAAAAAATATTTCACCTTTCTATCACTTGATATTTCACTAGGTTGTTCCTTCATATTGTGGGAATCTCAGCATGTTGAAATAATAAGGAATTCAGTATCCATCTATAATAATTTAATTTATCACAACTATTCAGTAGCGGTTCGCTCATAGAGTTAATTAATACCAAACAAAAACTGTTGCTTTTCTTATCGATTTTCCCACGCAATACTGCGAAATTATTATTTTCAAAAATTTTACTAAAACTAGCCCACCACTAACTATTTTCTTCTAAGTGAAACCAACACTAGTATGAAATGCTACGATCCCTATAATAATGGCAGCATTTACCAGCTACTACGTTTGTATTTCGATGGTATACTTAGCAAATTTTCTCGGGTGTCCCAACATTTAAATGTCAGCAAAAATGGCACATTTTTATTTAGGTGACAATTTTTGCGCTCTAAGAAAATTTATTAATTTGCAAAATACCTCACTCTCTGCTAAAATAGATGCCCATGCAAAATTTGCATTTAGTCCAGACGAATTGAATGATATCAAAAATATATACCGGATTTTTTTGAGAAATTGTCTGTGTCCCAATATTTAGTTGTTAGGGCTCGTATTTCTTCTTTAAAAAATCAGATGTTCTCATAACTAACCAGCAACAGTTGTATTTTTGCTGTCATGGCTAACACGTTAGAGCACAACTGTTCTTGGCTCAGAGTTCCTGCAGAAGTGGTGTTAACGTTGATCGCAAATTCCGTTATTCCCTGCAGGGTTGTATGAAGGAATTTCAAAACGAATTTTCAAATGTTGTTATCGACTACATCGCGTTTACTAAAACTTTACACAGGGCGGTGAAGCTCTTCTCATAAACTGGTAGTTTTGTACGAAATTAAGAGTGCAGTAACTTAATATTTCTGTTGGAACAACCCATACATTTTGTTAGTAAGAATTTGGAACTTTATCTATACCATATTACAGCGGTACAAGTATTGTTGCCAGTCCATTATTATTATTCACGACGATTAGAATTTTGCAAGCGATTTGTGAATATGAATCTCAACAGAGAATTGTCACAGAAGATAATTTTTACTGATGATGTATGGTTTCACATAAATGTACATATAAATTCACAAAGTACGAGGATTTGGAACCATGAAAATTCACATAAATGTATTTAACAGTCCTTGCAGCCTGCAAAAATTCATGTCTGAACTTCAGTTACTCACAGATATTTTTTAAAAGTAAACCATGAGGAAAATTATTTGTGTATCAAGGTCATAAACAAGAACTTTTTCGGCCGATCTGAAGTTTGAGGCCAAGGTCTACAAGATGAGGCCGAAAAAGTTCTCTTTGGCCAAAGTACTCGCAACGTTTTTTAAGCCACCATACAAAAAAAAATAATTGGTTATGCAACAGTTTTGCACAAGAATTTTGGTATCAGAAAATGAAACATTTTCTGTATCATTATGCAGGTACGATGGCATTCATGTGTTCAACTGTAGTAATTTTGTACAGTGTTTAATAAAAACTGAAATTTGGATTGACTTTTCTTGCAACTGCAAATTTGAATGAGCATTTTCATTATAGTCCTAGAACTACTGAAAACGATTATGGTCCTAGTACTTTAATATTCGTTGTTATGATATCGAAGTTGGCATTCATAAGGGTGTCATCATAACATGGTAGCAGATGAAAAAATAAATAAACTTCCAATGTTCATTCCTATTCAAAACGAGTAGGTACCGCATTTTAATCATTATAATAAGTAATAAGTATATAAATGCTATGCTCTGTTTTGTGTGCCTACAGCTCGGATTATGATTATGAATGATATCGATATCACTATCACTACAGTCTGAATCACGTCTCAATATCGATGCCGTCGACGCCAGCGCAGACCATCCTAGACATGGTTATATGAACCAGCAGTTGGGAAAGTTTGGTCAAATTCTACGACCTTGATTTTGCAGGAAGACAACCGCAGTATTCTGCACGACACATTAATGTGGGCAAGATGTCTTAAAACGTTCAAGCAAAACGTGTAGGTATTCAGCATCTGAATAATATAAAAAAAAACTAAAAACGAAAACAGTAGATTCTTTAATACACATCTCACTGTTCCTATTATTCCAAAATTTTTCAGTGTTGGTAGAATTTTATTATACTTTTACATAATAGTCATAATTACTGGAAATTAACCTTTCCTAACTAGTCGATATATATATATAATTATATGTATTACGTATTAATGAACTCACGGGGGAACTGTGTAAACGACATCGATACATCGTATGATCAGTAGATTACAAAAAACTGTGAAATTAGAGTATTATTCCTACCGTTAATAATAATAATAATAAGTGATTTAGTTTAAAGATTAAATTAATATTTAACATTGTATATTCATGTAAAAAATTCTAAGTTCAATTTAAGGCAATAGGTAAAGTTGGTAAAGCATTTTTACGACTGCATTTCACTATGACAATGTAGTTAATTAACATTTTAAATGATTTGCGAACTAGTTTGTAGAACCTACTAGACACAACAAGTTCATTAATATTGTTACAATCGAATTTAAAATGATGACACAACTTATTCATTAATCATAAAACTAAAAACAATAAATAAATTTATATTCAAATAGTTACGTATACATACGTACATCATAAAGAGGCAATTATTTTATTAAACTGCGCATGGCGCGCATTAGATTTTCATTATGAAATATTAAATTAATTGTTTAATTAATGTGTTTCATTAGGTTATCACTAAACAAATGTGTGTTTCCACAGTTGATCCTCCAACAGCAAACAATAGATATTCACAAATTTTGTCCACGACCTCCATTCACAAATTTTGTCCACGACCTCCCACAAAATAAAATCAATATCAGTAGCAGACTTTACGTCGCCTTCGTTTTGCCCTCAATACAAATTTACCTTACATTTTGAGCACAAATTATGAAAAAAACTTACCAATAAAATGCCACTCGATCTCCATAACCATTTTTAACATTTCTATCCAATAAATTATAAGCAATATTCGTAGTAGCTCCGTCTAACCACTTTGTATATATAGGTCCCTTCCTAATATCAAAATTATATCTGAAGAATGAATTAATGTCTATTGGAGTTTCCCAATAGAACTGCCTTGCAATATCACCCCAAAATTCCTCAGGATTATCTATCGACTGTTGATACATCTCTTGATATTGTGCAAAAGACGAAACATGAGCGTTTTTAGAAATTGCGGGGTTAGGCAGATAAACAGACTTTTCCGATGGCATTATGAAAATTTTTTAAATACACATAAACCACCCACCGTTGCCAAACCTCGGTAGCAACTGAACTCCAAGCACTAGAGCAGCGGCAACCAATATGCTCAAAGGTGAGTATGTACGTTTGCGCACTTCCCGCAATAAAGTGTAAATTTTTTAGTTATATCATTCGGTGCTTGAGCAGTGATCACCCATTTAGTGAATGCAAATTTTAAAAGACAATCATGTGCAATTTTCGTGTTATAAAATGTCGACATACAATGTATGATAATAAAAACGTGTTATTAAAAAAATATTTAACTTGGTCTAACTACTTGAAGAATTAATTTTTTAATTTAATCTTTTAAACTACGCCCTGTGTTCACTTCTGACAACTACTTTATTGATAATAATAATAATAATAATAATAATAATATAATTTATTGTCCAACAGAACAAATATTCCACTTACTGGACAATTTCCAATAAAACAAAATAAAAATAAAAGAAAACAAAAATAGTAATATATACCAAAAAATAAAAATAAAAATCACGTTTAGCATACCAAATAAAAAGAAAAGTAAAGTAAAGTAAATTACATTCAATAAATAAACTATCAATTATAGAGATAGTACAATAGAAAAACAAACAAAATATGTATCCCACCATTTACCTTCTAATAGAAAATAAAAAATAAAACAATAGAAAAATTAGAATTGATAAAAAAATATATGTATAAATTTGCTGAAATTACGATATAAACGACAGATAGGAATTTCATATGACTGGCACTTGTACGCTGTATGAAAACGACATTTCGTATTTTACATTTTTCATACAAAATTAAAAAAACTGGGGTCATAGTTTTAAAGATTACAATAATTCTTCAATTCGTTTTCAAAATAAACTAGTATCAAAAACTATTGCAAAATTTTTGTTCTAGTTTTAGAAAATTGACACAGTCAAATTTATTTTAATAATGTACAGCTAAAATGTAAGCGTATGCTTTTTTTCTGGGTAAAGGTATAGGTTATTTCCCAAATTAAAATACTGACCTTCAACTAAATCAAAATAAAATTGGTCGAAGTTTATTTCGACGCAACTTCCTTCGTTTCTGAAGTACAAGTCCAACAAATCCTGTACGACGTTTTTTTACTGTCAGGGGTCTCTAAGGTTAACGTTTTCTTTACTGAGATGGTGTCATAGCAACAAACAAGTCACTTTTTATCCTAGAAGCTAAAGTGTTACTTTTACTCCTAGAATAAAAAGTATTCAGGTATCAAAATTTAAATTTAGACTTTGGTTAGTACTTTCAACATCCTCAGAATATATTTGCACTGCTTTTTCCTTACAGCACTCCATGAAACGTTGATATACGCTTTTATAAATTTCTCGGGATTTCTGGGGAAGAAGATTTAACAAAACTTCTTTGGCACCTCGGCACACTTTAATATATCTTCTGGTACCATGGGCGCCGGCAGGGGGGTGCAAGGGGGTGCACTTGCACCCCCCTGGCTTAGTATAAAATACACACTTTAATTTAAATCTAAATTGCAATCTTCTAGGAAGTGGGTAATAGTTTTTGAAATGGCTTCCGCATTCAGTTCTTGCAGCGGCACATATCCTAAAAATTCTTCGCAAATTATTGGATTTTTATAGTCTTGATCACAACGCAAATACCGAAATCCAATCGATAGCAGTCTCATCAGCCAACACCTAAAAAACGTTTGCCTGATTCACCTCCTCAATTATTTTACTCTTCAGAACATCAGAACAAATTTCAATCAATTCATTTTGAATTTGATGCGATATATACAAAGAGTTTCTTGCTCCTGACTCTAAATGATTTTTTAAAATTTCATCCCCAGATTCAGTTCGAAAATGGAGCAAATATACTATATCCTATAATATATGGGTGCACCCCCCTGCAAATAATCCTGCCGGCGCCCATGTCTGGTACAATCCATTTTTAGTTTAACTTGCAACTTAATTAGCAAATTTGGAATATGGCGGATAATGTTTGAAAATTTTCCATGACTACATTGAAATGGGCTATTTTATTTTCCAACGAGTTTTAATTTTAATTATTCAAAAGCAAAAACGAAATAGTTTCGAGATTACGGTTGGAGAAAAAATAGTAGTAGTATGTATTATTCGGTTTTAAAGTGTCTTTTTTTGCTTCGCCTCGCAAATGAAATTATTGTTCGTCAAAAAAAGATACACTTTAGAAGCTAATAATCAGAGGGCGGCGACCTTGGAGTTAAGAACTCTGCGGACCACCACATGTATGCACATGACCAGCGCGGCACGGTCTCGATCAATTCGTCGGCCGACTACACTGCATTTGGATTGCAGTCTTATCGCTTGTTTTTCAGGTGCAATACGCACCTGTACATAGGCGTCGAGTACTCCTTGCACATCAAGCGCTTGGAAGTGGCGCAATCGCGCAGTATTCATTTGTAAAATAGCAAATTTGTAACCAAAATGTGTTTAACATTTTAGTTTCTTTTTATTTATATATATCTGTGTGGAGGTTTTTCAGTATACTTTTCATTTTTACGAATCTTATTTTGATTTTTTTTATTCCATTTTTAATAGAAGCAGCGTTTTATATTATTTTTTTATAATACAATATTTAACATTGCACAAAAGTGTCAAGATTCATCGAAAACTATAATTTATTTGCACTCTGAACTTTTAAAGTTGCAAAATTTCAAAGTATTGTGACCCAATTTAAAAGGCTTCCAGTTGAATTTGGGAAGAAATTAAAAATGAAAGTAGAATCTGTTTTTAGGAGCACTCCCGGTTTAAACACTTTGCATCAGTTTTGCGACGGCATGACAGAGCCAAACATTAGAACAAAATACGTATGAAAATTTGCTCCCATTTTTTAATTACGGTCACATAACCAGTTGTGACGTGTATCGTTCATGTTCTAAATTGAAAGACTTATTAACCCCCAAAAGAACACATTTTACAGAGGAAAATCTCGAGCGAGGGCTAGACCTTGAGCGTGCTGCGAAATCTGTGTACGGCTATGGATTAAAACGGCTTCGCCGTTCTCTGCTAATGATATAAGATATAAGGGCCAATTCTGAATCAAACATGTTAAAATTTAAAGGTTGTTAAAAAATAAACAGCCAATCAGATTTACGAATTTAACTCGTTACTATGGAAATTTGCAATTTAACAACCTTTAAATTTAACAAGTTTGATTCAGAATTGCCCGTATAATATACTATTTTTAGGCGACTAACACAAAATAGATGGCTTTACGTCTCCATTGATGGACGTAAAACGTCACATTTTGTTATTAATTGTCACTTCACGGCCACGGTGGTATAAGTACGGTGTTTTAACTCCATTCATAAGTTTTCATAAAACGGGCGCTTAATAGTTATTTACATGGCAAGCTTAGTAAATTAGCCTTTACGGGCGAGCCGGAATGTTTGCAGGGCGAGCGACGTAGGAGCGAGCCCTGTAATCCGGTGAGCCCCAGTAAAGGCTAGTTGCAAGCGAGCCGCGTACAACGTTTTACTTCCTCTTGCTGAAAATCCTGAAAATGAACAACTTTGGCATCTCTAGAAATTTTACTTGAAATTACAGTCATAGAAATTATAGTCATTTTTCATAGTTTGCTCCGGTAACTATGGAAAATTGAATTGTTTGAAAATAAGGGGACTGTCAATTTGTAAATTCGATTAATAATTTAAATAGTTTAATTTTGTTTCTGAGCTCTGTTAATTATGGAATTCGATGAAGATGAAGAGTTTGAAGGTGATTTTAACGTTAGTATTAGCACAGTATTAGTGAGATTAAGAAAAAGGCCGACGCAGCGAATGTGTGTTTGATTCCGGTGCTGTCATGATAACGTTTTACAGGCACGGTGCCTGTGGTAACGCTTTACAGGCAGGGTGCGTGTAAAGGCTAATTTACCGAGTTAGTTCAGACGACAGTAAACGAGCTTTAACAAGACAAAAGGAAGTAAAAACTGTTACCGTAGTAGGTTGTACGAGCTAAAGTCACTAGATATACAGATAGTGACTTTAGTGGGAGCTTAAGATGACCGCCACCATGTGGTAGTAGGTTTTATTGGACCGTTCCAAAGCCACCAGTGGCACCTTTTCATTCGGTCAAATGAGACCGAATTGATGGAATGGTTGGTGGAGGGGAATGTCAGGTGAGTTTAAAATAAACTAAATTGACATACGCCTATGACGTAAAGTCCACAAGTTAGCAATAAAACGCTACAACAAAACTTCTTCGAGGTGAACAAAATTCTCCACCCCACCCAGTCTGGCGGTGAGCAATAAAACGCGCTTAGTGAAAATAATTGTCGTCCAAAAAACATTATGTGCAACTCAGCCGTGAAGAATCTTCTTTGGCCTGTTCTGAATTGTTGAGCCTCGCTATTCCTCGGCCAACAAATTTCAAATCGGCCAAAAATAATCTTCACAGCCTTCATACACAAATTACTATTTTCTAACATTGACATTTTAAATCGTTTGTAAGGTTCATTTAAACTCGATTGTTAATTTAACTATAAAATCCATTGTTCTTTATGAAGTGCGTCGTCAATGATAACATCCTTTATACTACTTAAAGTACGCTGCTCTATTTTTCGTAACATGGATTTATTGAAAACAAAATTACAATTATTAAAATATAAATTTCATTATTGGATGAATTCTTGTTGTTAATGTCTTCATTGTCTCTACTATTTTCTAAGGCAGAATCCAGCTTTGTACATCTGACCTGGTTGCTGACCTCTACATTGGAATCGTCGCTACTACTGTTTCTACCACCTCCGGAAGATTGGTCCTTGCTGCCAGTAGAGTCTTTGCTACTACCCGAACTACAAAATACCTTGCAAGCAATTTTCACTCTTTCTTCTAACGACTCTTCGATGTAGGATTCACAAACTTTCGATGATTCCCAACCTCCATGTCGTTATAGAAGTGATATCTACACCTGCAATAATACATTAATAATGTTAATCTACTTAGATATTCAGATACAGAAACCAGACAGACAAACAGTTGAAAACGGGAGACTACTTTTTTCGTACTCTCGCGGTTATGAAACGTCGAGAAAATATA